GTGTGAAGAAAGACCTTAGGTAGGTTCTAGAATCGATATGGAGAAATTGATAAAACTTCCTTTGCTCTCATAATCCCACTACCCCAACAGGATCTTGTTGGTACTATTATTTCTGGCTAATAAATTTTACATAAGATCAACTGAAATGCATAAGATGCAAGTGCACATTTAGATCATGACTACAATACATCTCTTTGACACCTAGCACAGGTGCTTACAAACTTATTAAATATAGCAACCTTAATATTGAGAATAGTATTGATTTCATTTTGATAAAGAGAGTTTTTCTGCTTAGTATCCTGAAAGCTAAAAAGATTTTTAAGGTTGTGTGTGTGTGTGTGTGTGTGTGTGTATATTTGTTTTTGTTAATTAAATATGCATTACATCTATTTTGTTATATTTAAATAAAAAACATGGCCACTGACATTCCCATTGGTAAGAAAAGCAAAAACATCTGCTAGAATTATGAGAGGGTTGACATCAGAGTTCAACAAAAGGGGAACCAGAAATTTATCAGATAGGCTTCAAGCTGCCCTCCTTTACAGTAAGTAGAAAGTGAGGTTTGCATGGTTGGCTATAGTTGCTACGATTAAATGTCACTTTATAAAGTGGCATCAGGAGAGTGCATGAAATATATAGCTGCACCAACTATATTTCACATACGTTTAGTATTACTGTAGAGACCAAGGGCTCCATGTCAGACAGAAATTCCAGCTCATCTGCACCTGAGAAACCCCTGAAACGGATCCCAATTTAAATTTTTTGTTGTTCATTATGGTTGTCAGGCAGGGGAAAAAATCCTAACTAAGTGATGGGCTAGTTTAGATGAAAATGTGAGAAGCCAACATTCTACTCATCTTACAGCCAGATAAACATCCATGTGAATGTAGCTACTTCCTTATTGCTCCATCTAACATAGATATGAAGGAGTACAGTGTCAGCAAACAAACCGAAAAGTATTTTGTCTTCTCTGCTACATAAGGAAAAGGTAGGGTTCATGGCTAATAGGCAGGGAACTGACCAAACGAGGGTGCCTCAGATTTCATAGCATGTGAAGCTCAAAACTGGATTGGCCCCTGTGAACTACGAGCAGATGGACAGTGGATCTGGCTTTGCACCCAAGCCCCGGGTTTCCCCAAAAGTCAACACTAGGGACTGAAGGAGACTCATGGCCAAAATGCCACAAAGCTGGGGGAGAGTCCTCCAGTAAGAAGGGGAATTGCATAACATTGTTCCTCCTCCCTCTTCCACATTCCCGCTTCCAGCAGAAGAAGGGTGATTTTGCCCAGTTTCTTCTCTTGACTGTGGCTCCCATGCTTTGTGGTACTTTATCCATGAGGTTTCTTCAACCCCCAGCACTGGCTTTTCAGGGGATCTTAGAGGACCACTGGGGGAAAGTAGGAGAAGATCGGGTACAATGCTTTGTACTCTTGGCTCATACGATCCCTCTCAATAACATGTTTTAAAAATTTGTCAAGTTAGCAGTAGTAAGATACAGTGTGTTCTGATCCCATCCATTCCAAGGGTTTTCACATGACAACTTCCCGGTGAATTGCGCCTGAATTCATTAGCTTTCAACAGAATTGTGTCAACAGGAAACATATCTGATAAACCTTTTCAGAGCTGCTTCTCCATTCCTCACAGACTGCTTTTTTTCCAATTAGACCTGTCTGCTCTTTCTTAATGTTCTTTACAGAAGGGATAAATCTACAGAAGCCTTCATAGCTTGTCCAATATTGTTTCATACACCTACCAGAATCAGAGCTATGATGGTGTTGTAAAAATATTGATAACCGAGGGTACACATAATGGATGCTTCACATACGCTAACAGCATTAGAAGGGGCAGGCATGACACTGACTGTGTATTATACACTGTCTATGTATTATACACTGACTATGGCATACAGGTAGGGTTATCAACCACCAGGAGTGGTCTGAAGATCTCCTGGAATTACACTTGATCTCCAGACTACAGGGATCTGTTCCCCTGGAAATAATGGCTGCTTTGGAGGAGGGATTCTACCCCACCGAGGTCCTTCCACTCTTCAAACTCCAACCTCCCCAGGCTTCACCCACATATCTCCAGGAATTTCTCAACCTGGAGCTGGAAACCCCAGAGGTCAGGTCCAGGTCCCCTTGCCTGCACAGCTTTTTGTGTTTTATTTAAAAAAGAAGACCCTCACTTCTCTTGAGCTACTGTAATATCAATGTATCCAGATTTCGAAGCATGACACCTCATGTCAATAAATTATCAATATAAATTCATTAACTCCCACATGGTAGTTCTTTTCAGGGTAATGAAACATTCTGAAAATATAAATTAATTCATCCATGTACCTACACTGCAAAATAGAATTTGTATTTTGCTTTTTAGTTAAACTATTTGAGAGACTAATTTTCCTCTTTCCATAAATATTTTAAATGTGGACTAAATTATGAATATATAAACACATATCCTTCAGCCTAACTTAATCAGTTAAATTAATTCACTAAACCAGTCTTATCCAAAATTTCCTGAACCAAACTCAGATTATTTTTTTTAAAAAAAGATTATATAAACCTTTAAAATTAAATCTTCCATTAGATTTTTTAAATATAGGCTATAATTTTTTCTAGCTCATCTTAACCAGTCTCTAAAACAATCTTGTAACAGAGTCCCTAAACCAATCTTATTCTTATATCTTAGGGTTTTCTTCTTTGTAATTTCTTCTTTTTAGTAGAGCCTTGGATCTATGCCTCTTCTCCTTGTATGTAGAAAAGCTTTCTTTCATGATTTGTCATCTATATTCAATGTTTAGGTTTGTTTCATCTTCTCTCTGGTGTATTTTCTTCCTTGTACTTGTACTTTTAAGGGTTCCAGAATTTGACAGTCTTTTAATAGAGCTATTATTCTCACTGCTAAAATCAGCTTGATTCCCACTGAAGATTAGTTCTTCTTGAGTGTAGTATTGCCCTGTGTCTTGCACAGTTGGACGCTGTAATTCCTTTTCACTGTAATTTAGGTTAGCTTGGTTGCAAAGTATCTCAGCTTCTTGCTCAGTTTGGCACTGAAGTTCCTTTCCAGTGATTTGGTTTAAAGCTGAAGGTTTTTGGTCTAAAATCAGTTCAAAAGCCTTGGTAATTGCCTGGGTCACTGATTCAATAATCACGGCCTGGATCTCCTCCCAAAATATTTGAAGCTTCTCAGATTCTACTGAGTTCTCCATATCTGAATCATCTGGCATTCTACTGAGCTCTCCATATCTGAATCATCTGGCATGTTTTCCTGAGGGCGTCAAGTTTGCAGTAGTAATATACAGTGTGTTCTGATCCCATCCATTCGAAGGGTTTTCACATGAGAACTTCCCGGTGAATTGCACCTGAATTCATTAGCTTTCAACAGAATTGTGTCATCAGGAAACATATCTGATAAACCTTTTCAGAGCTGCTTCTCCATTCCTCACAGACTGCTTTTTTTTCCCAATTAGACCTGTCTGCTCTTTCTTAATGTTCTTTACTGAAGGGATAAATCTACAGAAGCCTTCATAGCTTGTCCAATATTCTTTCATACACCTACCAGAATCAGAGCTATGATGGTGTTGTAAAAATATTGATAACCGAGGGTACACATAATGGATGCTTCACATACGCTAACAGCATTAGAAGTGCATCATTAAATACACTAGGGAGACATTTGATTATGTGACAGGCTAATATGAATGAGCATTGACACACTGGTAGGCCAACTGTTGGTGGTTGAAATATTATACACTGACTGTGTATTATACTGCAAGCTGGGGGCCCAAATCAAGTCCCTTGCACCAGACCTCCCTCCAGGAGGTCCAGTGGGGGTCAGGATCCCCTGAAACCCCCCCTTAAAGAATGAAGAATCAGTGGTAGCTGGGAGCGATTCCTGGTGCCCATTGAATTGCTGTGCCGCAGCTCCGCCCTATCTGTCCAACACCACATTTCAAAGGAATCAACTTTCATCCAGTCAGCTTTCTTCACTGTCCAACTTTCACACCCATACATAGTAATGGAGAATACTATAGTATGAATTATTTTGACCTTGGTCTAGCTTTAAATATTAAAGAACCAAATGCAAAATTTTAAAACAGCAGATTACATAGATCTAAATCCAACTTTTTTTTTGTATCTGAAGAAGTATGCATACAAATGAAAGCTTATGTTGGTCTTAAAGATGCCACTGGACTCAATCTTTGTTCTTTTTTTAGTTTTCATTCTTATGCTTATTGCTATCCTTGTTTCAAACAAAATAAAGACTGAGTAATGGCAGTGTGAAAAAAGTTAAATTAATCACCATGACATGCTGTATATACATACCAAAATGTAGCAGCCTTTCATAAGTCACTACACATTTACTTAGAGATTATTCTACCATCTCAAGTTACACTTGTATATACACGTAGAGGTATCTCTTTGGCTACTATACTATCAATTTATCCAGATTTCTAGGAATGACGTTTCTAAGCTTGTGCCAAGTGGGGATTTGGACCAAGTGGGGATTTAGACCTGGGTCTTCCCAAGCCTAGTTCAACCTTGTTACCAACAATTATACCACACTGCTGCTCTGGTGAATTTGGACAATACTGAAACATCTATACAAATGAATGCTCATCATCACAGGCTGAGGCAGTAATTCCTATGTACCATCTGCTGTGGGGAAGAGACTAAAGGGATGGGGGGGCTGGTCAGGGGGCCATGGAGCTGGCCAAGCAATGTGACTTATATTCATATGATGTTTGAATTGGATCAGGGGCATGTGAGGTGGATGCCAAGAGGGGATCTGTCTGGGGGACCGGTTTGGACCCTGTCTGCTTTTTTGTATCTATGAACCTACTATCAACTTGATTGGATAACTCCAGGTTCTAAGAATACCAGAGAGGTATGGATAGTCATGATGAAGAGAATAACATGTAGATCTTACTGCTAGCATATACCATATCCATCAAATGCTTCAGTGTATATGTGTATGTGTATACATATATATATTCTTACCTGAAAATTACCAAAGCAGCTTCCTCCAGGCAGGGTGACATAACTCACAAATGGAGGCCCAGGTGAATTCAGTGACTCATATACCACAGTGCCTTCACTTGAAAATACACCTTTCTGTTTCTGTTTACTCTCCCAAAATTCCTGCAGCATTGCCACAACATTCACTACCAAAAACATACAGATGACAATATGTTAATCATATCCTATGAGTCACACACAGTTAAAAAACCTCCTCAAAACCGTAATATTAATACAATTGTATACAGATAAGTATTTATACAACAAATTCAGTATTTTTGAGGACTGACATCAATTGGTTTAACCCACAAACTGTCAAGAATGTTCTGATTTTAGCTGGACAAAGATTGATAGGTAGACTATCAAATAGTTTACCATACATCTTACTTGTTGTTCAGTAAAATTCTTCTGACTACATGAGGAGAGAGCTCACTCTATGGTAGTCCACCTTTGTTGTATCTTGTGAAGGAAAGGCACTGTAAGCAACTCAAATTTCACGTTTACTTTAAAGTAGAAATAAAATAATATTTCAAACCTCCCAAGTATAAAATGAATATTTGATTTTTGGATTGTTGCTCTCACTTTTATAGCACAGCCAATTGTTGCTCTCACATCATCTTGAAGGCCCATTTAAATTTAAACAGCAGCAAATAAGGTAGCTTGCCTCTGGTAAATGGCTGATGTGATGAGAGAGGCTGACCTGGGATAATGGGTCTATATGTTGATTTTTAAAAGTCTGCTGACCACTGTTTAGTGTTAAGGAATGAGATTGATATTTTGCTTTATGGATTTATATTTGCTGCTACATACACAATGGACTGTGCTCACACACACACACACACAGGCTCAGAAAGCTGTACAAGTCACCTGTTGTGATATTACACATAGAAGGTGCCTGCATAAGCCTTGCACATGAATAAGGTTTCAGTTACACAGTTCTCAGCCTGGTGGAGAAGCACACACACCTCCATTATTGTGAGCGATAAGAAAACAACAACTTGAGAAGAAACAGCCCCCATTGCAGATCTTGTAGTGATCATGTAGGACTCATCCATGCTTTGTTCTACATTGGTATTTCCTGTCAAATGGACATTTGTTTCACAAAGGGAATGGCCAAGCTTCATCTACATCTCAAGGAAGCATCTTGACGCCAAGGTTTCACACCTGACCAGATGGCCCTCTTTGAGTAAGGTATTAGATTTCAATCTTGACCATTCCTTTAGGTAACCTCCCACTCCTAAGCCGAAGAATAGATTCTTTTGAACTATGGTGCTGGAGAAGACTCTTGAGAGTCCCTTGGACTGCAAGATCAAATCAGTCAATCCTAAAAGAAATCAACCCTGACTGTTCCCTGGAAGGCCAGATAATGAAACTGAAGCTCAAATACTTTGGCCACCAAATGGGAAGGGAGCACTCACTGGAGAAGACCCTGCTGCTGGGAAAGATTGAAGGTCAAAGAAGACGGGGACGGCAAAGGATGAGATGGTTAGAGTGTCATAGATGCAACGAACATGAAATTGAGCAAACTTCAGAGGATGGCGGAAGACAGGAAGGCCTAGTGCGATCTAGTCCATGGGGTCGCGAAGAGTCTGACTCGACTGTGCGACTGAACAACAACAAAAAAACCAGGAAGGTGGGCCAGGAGGTTGGCACCGTCAACACCCACCTCCTGGAACCCCGATAAAAGAAGAGAACCAGTCACATGGTCTCTCTCTCTCTACTTGATCAACTAACTAGCATCTCTCTTGCAACATCCCCTGTCTGCTTTAACCCCCCTTTTGTCCACCTTGCTATCCCAAACCCTTGCCTCTACTGCCCACACGTGCTGGCTGGTTCTAGTCGTGTGTTAAACTCCCTTAGATTCTATTTTCTTCCCATTCATTCTTCAGTGGAACAAACAAGCTTCAGGACAGATAAGTACCACCCATCATCACCCTATCTACTAATGCAAAAGTGATTATTTTACTACTGTATTTCTAAGAAACTTGATTGAATGTGTGCGTGTATCAGTATTGTTTGTATGTGATTTATATTTTCTTAAGTAAAAGACAGTTATATTAATAACACCAGCCTCGCCTTCTTTTACTGGCAACCTTTGGTGGGAACTGGACCTCAATATAAACTGGCAAGAACCCATATAAATTGCCAATTGCTGTAGATAAAGCAATTCGGCTAACATTAGTTAGGCCTCCAACTTTTGTTGAAACTCAAGAAAACTAACCTCCAGTTTCTTTTCTGTGCTTCAGAAGGGGCTCCTTATAAGTATTTTTATTTATCTATACAAAACAGTGATTGACCCTCTTGCAATCCAGTTTTTTATAGTCCCCTATTCTGAAAGGCTGCTTTCTATGAGAATCAAAGGGGTGGGGGTGGGGACGACAAAATGTCTATGTTGCACTTGTCTCTCATTGAATTACTTGCATGGATGATCTAAATGGAAAGCATAAAGACTCTGTAAAGTAATATGAAAAATAAAACTCTGTTTGACCTACCCTTTAGAAGGGCATGGCCCCCTCCCCTTCCCCAATTAAACCAAAACTAAAATAGAAACCAGATGGTTATCTCGATGTGTGATGGTAGAATTAAGTTTTGACACAAACTGAGCAAAGGTGAAAACCCAAGTCACAAAAAAATGAATTGGTTTTTCTAAATTAAAGTTATATTTCTCCCTTGAGGCCTGCAGAATTTATTAACTGTTTGTTTAATGTGATCTGCTACTTGCTGTCGATCTATGAAAGTCATCAAAGCAGTCTAGTAGATGGAATTATGATTGGTGACCTGTTGCTTTTGAATTTATTATTTGCTGCAGATTTAGAAATTACTGTATCAAAACTTTAAGCTGCAGATTTAGAAATTACTGTATAAAAACTTTAAATTAAAGAATTACACATAACCAGAAAAAAACAACAAACTAGATTGTGAGATCTGGGCTGTTTGACCATTTGACCTATGGTGATATATTTTTGTTTTGCACCCATTATCACTCCTTTTTCTTTAGTATGGACATATCCGTATGGGGAGGCCTGGTAAGAATTCAGTTTTAAATGCGACTAAGGGGAAGTTGAGATTTAGGAACCACTTAAAAAAAATATTTAACCTCAAATGTCAAAACTTTCCGATTATCACTACAGTCCCTGTCAAAATATTTCTGAAAATTTATTTTACCAAAGATGTCAACCTTAAATAAAAATGTGAAAAAATTAGAAAACATAGGCAGAGGAGACAACAAATTATCAGAGCTTACCTATACTTTATACTGACCTACACTTTATACTAACTACTGTGATGTTCATCAAAGCACTGAAAACAGACAGGAGTAAAGAATGGCTTTCTAGTAATAGCAGCAAATGAGGTATTTTATTCGTCATGGGAGTTAGATTAGCATTCTAGGTCTGATCTGACCTCAAGCCATCACAGCTTAGGCCCAGTTCATATATTACCTGGGACTGCCAACCTCCAGGTGGGGCCTGGAGCTCTTTTAGAATTACAACTGATCTCCAGCCTACAGAGATCTGTTCCCCTGGAGAAGATGGCAGTTTTGGAGGGCAGACTTTATGGCATCACTTTCTGTTGAGCTTTTCCCCTTCCCTAAACTCCACCCTTCCCAGGCTCCACCTTCAGATCTCCAGGAGTTTCTCAAGGTGGAGATGGCAACCTTGTGTTCATCAGGGATCTCCAACCTTTTTGAACCTATATCTACTTTTGGAATGTGAAGAAAAGGTAGTTGGTGCCAAAACAAAATGGCTGCCATGAAGGTTGGGCCATTCACAAAATAGCTTCAATATTGGGGGAAGGAGGAACTAATTACAAAATACCTGGTATGGAAACTTGATTTGGCAGGAAGCTCCAAGCTAATCAACTGCTTATGATGGAGGAGCTGTTTCTAAATATGTTCTCTCTGAAATCACAAAGGTGACATCACCTGGGCTCTTCCTATTCCAGTGAAGTGGAGAAGAACCATGTTTCACGATGCTTTAGAGAAGAAGCAAATGGGCACTATGCTAGAGATGATTGGTCTATGTTATGTGCCAACTACCAAAGTATGCTTCCTTAGAAGAGATTCAGTATTGGTACACTAGAACAGGAAGTAACCACATAATCTGCGTGTAGGGTTGCTAGTCATTTCTGGCAAATGGCGGTTGTCTACAGGGGTGAGGACATGGGGGATTCCCTGCTCCTGGCAGGAACCTATTTGAGTGACTAGTGTGATTTGCCTTTATATATATTACCACAGAAAATGTAAATCGGAGACTGACTATGCAGCTGTCTGGGTTTTTTTAGGGGTAGGTGCTGATAGCTGAGGTATAATGAAGGTATAACTGAGGTCAGGGGTCATTTTGTAGAAAAAGAGGTGCAGGAGCTCATTAGCATAACTCATTTGCATATGCCACACCCTCTGACATCACCGGAAGTGTGTCAGAAGGCAACACCCACCGCTCAGGCTCCACTGGACTGTTTTGGATTGCTAGCTATTAGGGGGGGGAACGTACAGATCTGTCCTCACAGAGGAGGGAGAGCTTGCACCTGAATAAAACTTGGTCTTAAAGGTGCCACTGGACCGGGGGGCCGGGGGGAGCTCTGCAACTTACCTGGCTGCTTCTTGCTCTGACAGAGGACTGCTGGGAGCAGGGGGTGGGGCTTGTTGCATGTGCCCACCCCCTGGGCTCTTTACTGCCGGAGCTCCACTCCTGTACACTCCTGCAGGAAATTACCCCTGACTGAGGTGTAATGAACTCTGTGATATGATATCCATGGTTCAATCATACATCACTTTGATTAACACACAGTTTATTGCAACAAATGGAACTTTCACATTTCTCTGAAAATTGGAGACATGTGGATAATAAAAATGAAATGTCAGATTATAAACACTCATTGTTAAGACTGTCCAAAAGCTCTGGAAAGCCAGCTTCCTAAATTTATTTTTCCTTTCCTCCATTCATTTTTGTCTATTTAAATATTTTAAGGTTATAGCAGGATTTTAAGTGTTCTCTCTCTCTCATTAAAAAAACTTGGCTATTTCAAAACTAGGTCAATACTTTGCTTGCATAAAGAGTCTTGTTTGGTAGAATGTTTCCATTGCATTTGGAAAAAATATCAGAGTGTTAAAATTGTTCCACTGATTGCTTTCCTGACTAGAGAAAAG